CTTATCACATGACAACGTCACTTCATCCACCTCGGAGTTACCCGTTTCTCTGCCTTATCACATGACAACGTCACTTTATCCACCTCCGAGTTACCTGTTTCTCTGCCTTATCACATGACAACGTCACTTCATCCACCTCGGAGTTACCCGTTTCTCTGCCTTATCACATGACAACGTCACTTTATCCACCTCGGAGTTACCTGTTTCTCTGCCTTATCACATGACAACGTCACTTTATCCGCCTCGGAGTTACCTGTTTCTCTGCCTTATCACATGACAACGTCACTTTATCCACCTCGGAGTTACCTGTTTCTCTGCCTTATCACATGACAACGTCACTTTATCCACCTCGGAGTTACCTGTTTCTCTGCCTTATCACATGACAACGTCACTTTATCCGCCTCGGAGTTACCTGTTTCTCTGCCTTATCACATGACAACGTCACTTTATCCACCTCGGAGTTACCTGTTTCTCTGCCTTATCACATGACAACGTCACTTTATCCACCTCGGAGTTACCTGTTTCTCTGTCTTATCACAAGACAACGTCACTTTATCAACCTCGGAGTCACCTGTTTTTCTGCCTTATCACATGACAACGTCACTTTATCCACCTCGGATTCACCTGTTTCTCAGCCTTATCACATGACGACGTCACTTTATCCACCTCGGAGTTACCTGTTTCTCTGCCTTATCACATGACAACGTCACTTTATCCACCTCGGAGTAACCTGTTTCTCTGCCTTCTCACATGACGACGTCACTTTATGCACCTCGGAGTTACCTGTTTCTCTGCCTTATCACATGACAACGTCACTTTATCCACCTCGGAGTCACCTGTTTCTCTGCCTTATCACATGAAGACGTCACTTTATCCACCTCGGAGTTACCTGTTTCTCTGCCTTATCACATGAAAACGTCACTTTATCCACCTCGGAGTTACCTGTTTCTCTGCCTTATCACATAACGTCACTTTATCCACCTCGGAGTCACCTGTTTCTCTCTCTTATCACATGACGACGTCACTTTATCCACCTCGGAGTTACCTGTTTCTCTGCCTTATCACATGACGTCACTTTATCAACCTCGGAGTTACCTGTTTCTCTGCCTTATCACATGACGTCACTTTATCCGCCTCGGAGTTACCTGTTTCTCTGCCTTATCACATGACAACGTCACTTTATCCACCTCAGTGTCACGTGTTTCTCTGCCTTATCACATGACAACGTCACTTTATCCACCTCGGAGTTACCTGTTTCTCTGTCTTATCACATGACAACGTCACTTTATCCACCTCGGAGTTACCTGTTTCTCTGCCTTATCACATGACAACGTTACTTTATCCACCTCGGATTCACCTGTTTCTCAGCCTTATCACATGACAACGTCACTTTATCCACCTCGGAGTTACCTGTTTCTCTCTCTGCCTTATCACATGACCATGTCACTTTATCCACCTCGGAATGACCTGTTTCTCAGCCTTATCACAAGACAACGTCACTTTATCAACCTCGGAGTTACCTGTTTCTCTCCCTTATCACATGACAACGTCACTTTATCCACCTCAGTGTCACGTGTTTCTCTGCCTTATCACATGACAACGTCACTTTATCCACCTCGGAGTTACCTGTTTCTCAGCCTTATCACATGACAACGTCACTTTATCCACCTCGGAGTTACCTGTTTCTCAGTTTATCACATGACAACGTCACTTTATCCACCTCGGAGTCACCTGTTTCTCTGCCTTATCACATGACAACGTTACTTTATCCACCTCGGATTCACCTGTTTCTCTACCTTATCACATGAAAACGTCACTTTATCCACCTCGGAGTTACCTGTTTCTCAGTTTATCACATGACAACGTCACTTTATCCGCCTCGGAGTTACCTGTTTCTCTGCCTTATCACATGACGACGTCACTTTATCCACCTCGGAGTCACCTGTTTCTCTACCTTATCACATGAAAACGTCACTTTATCCACCTCGGAGTTACCTGTTTCTCAGTTTATCACATGACAACGTCACTTTATCCGCCTCGGAGTTACCTGTTTCTCTGCCTTATCACATGACGACGTCACTTTATGCACCTCGGAGTCACCTGTTTCTCTACCTTATCACATGAAAACGTCACTTTATCCACCTCGGAGTTACCTGTTTCTCAGTTTATCACATGACAACGTCACTTTATCCGCCTCGGAGTTACCTGTTTCTCAGTTTATCACATGAAAACGTCACTTTGTCCACCTCAGAGTTATCTGTTTCATAACTTGATAATGCCCTTATATTGCTTGACGACGGGCCATTATCATGCCCGTTGTTAGGTGACGTCATAGGATAGGATAGGTGACGTCACGTTCAATAGTGACGTCATCTGGTTTGTTCTATGACGTTTCCATATTTGTAAAAGTGGGTCAGTGACATTCGTGTTGATTGCAGTAAATGTTTCAAAACCGATGTTGTTGTTTCTTTTTATGTGATAACATATTCCATCCATTTTAGCTATAATAGCTGTAACGCTATTTTTCAGGTCATTATCATTTGCAGAAGCCCTCGGTCTTTTTAACTGCCCTCTTTCGTCGGGCTTCTGCAAATGATAATGCCCTGAAAAATAGCGTTACCCTTATAACAACGTCACTGTTTCTCTGCCTTATCACATGACGTCACTTTATCCACATCGGAGTCACATGTTCCCATTCAATTTTTATAAAGGCGCATTCCATTATGAATATGATATTAGTTTAACCCTTCCTGTAGGTCTTCAGCATCCCATGCTTATCGTAAGAGGCGACTAACTGAATCAGGTGGTCGGGGTCGCCGTCTTGGTTTGATCATGTCAACGTATCCCTATTGCGAAGGCTGATGCTCATGATATCAAAAACCTGGATCGGACAGCTGTGCCAGCCATGTTCGTCTTGATGAGACTTGGTTATATCTTAGTATTGTAGTGAATGAGTGAGTGAGTGAGTGAGTGAGTACGTGAGTGAGTGAGTGAGTGAGTGAGTGAGTGAGTGAGTGAGTGAGTGAGTGGGGTTTAACGATGCTTTTAACAGTATTCCAGTCATATCGCGGCGTGTCAGCTTAATGTGGGAGGAAAGCCCGAAGTGATGCAGGTCTCAGACGTTTACCATTTTGGTGAAACATACGAGCACGGGTATGGTGCTGACAAACCTAAAAACATAATCGGGGCGAACCGGGATTCGAACCCACAATCATAGGTTTCTGGCGTGCCCAAGGGACACAACTCTTAGACGACTAGGCAGCCCGTGCCCCGTTAGTATTGTAACAATCCCTTCCCATGAAGATCCGGGGTAGAATAGGTCATCAGGAACCCATGCTTGCTGTAAAAGGCGACTATGCTTGTGGTGAGAGGCGGCTAACGGGATCGGGAGGTCAGGCTCGCTGACTTGGTTCATGCATGTCACCGTATCCCAATTGCGAAGGCTGATGCTCATGATGTCAATCACTGGATTGTGTGGTCCACACTCGATTATCTACAGACCGCCGTCATATAGCGTCACAAACAAACAAACAATGCTTGTCAACGCGAGTGATGCCGTTTGTGGATATGCATATATTATATTAAAGGACTTGTTATATTTATTCTTCCTCGCTGGCCCACTGTCTATGATTCAGTGATGAGGAAAGGGCGCAAGTATTACATACGTCAGATCCAAGAACCAAACAATAGACAGTGATCATTACAGTAAGCTGGCACTCCTAGACAGCTGTTGAAAACGTCTTGCACGGCCATGCATGTCAGCGGCGCGTCAGACACCATGCCGGCAATTGTTGAATACCTCATCTACAACGACACGTGTCAGCGCCGTGCGACACATCAAAGCAACGCGTGGATGAGAATGTCTGGCAATTAAGTACTGCTAAGTAGGTAGGTAGGTAGGTAGGTAGGTAGGTAGGTAGGTAGATAGGTAGGTAGGTAGGTAGGTAGGTAGGTAGGTAGGTAGGTAGGTAGGTAGGTAGGTAAGTAAGTGGTCTTCGCGGGGTCAAGACGTCAGATAAACCATTGATATTTTTAATGACACACGTCAAGATTACAAAGCTTTAGAAGACTTGACCCTAGAAATATCCATTTAACACGAACTCACATACTTTTAAAATTAATCCTTCTTGATAATTGCAATGTTTCTTAAGTTTGGGTGAAACCAACTCATGAAATAGTTCAGAAATGTCTACAGTTTTGCTTCAAATACTGTTATACTGCTTCAAATACTGTTAATTGCCATATCATAAAACACTTAGTAATTATTTATACTCTTAAGAAAGAAAACAAAACAATGAAAGCAACAATTTCGAAAGACTACTTGTGAAACTGGCAGCACCTATATACAAAGGTCAACATCGCAAGAACCCTGACCTAAGTAATGGTTTAACGACTGTCAACAACACTATAATTATTTCTAAAAGTGACAAATAGTCCTACGTGGGTTGTTTGTTTTTCCTAAGCTAAAATATTACACAGATATCATCGATGAAAGTTATTAGACTTAAGTTTTAACACCTGAGCAGATTGTTCAACACATTTAGCCAAACCCTTGAAGATCCGGGGTACAATAGGTCTTCAGCAACCCATGCTTGCCGTAAAAGGCGACTGTGCTTGTCGTAAGAGGCGACCAACGGGATTGGGTGGTCAGGCTCGCTGACTTGGTTGATGCATGTCATCGTATCCCAATTGCGTGGATCGATGCTCATGATGTAAATCACTGGAATGTCTGGTCCAGACTCGATTATTAACAGACCGCCGTCATATAGCTGGTATATTGCTGAGTCCGGCGTTAAACAACAAACAAACAAAACATTTAGCCAATAAATAGGTAAACAAAACAGGATAGACAACAACAAAAATTATCTGTAAATACTTACTCAAAGACCATCTTCATAATACAACAAAGTATATATCTATAACGACCCCCACCAAAATAACCGCAGGCGGTTTACTTCACGAGAGAAAAACAACCCGCCAGCGCTGACACTGAAGTCACGTGACTACACGGAGTTCACGGATCAGCTGAGAAACTTAACCTGTCTGTTAGATTGACGGACTGCTATGTACATCTCCATGCGTCATGGGCAAAGGAAAGGTAAGGCAATGTACATATGCAATCACATTTCAGCCCGCATCACAGATTTGGTTTCAGGAGAAGTAAATATCGCTTTGATTCTGTTATGTAAATACGACCTGTTATAGTCGGTGAACACCTGGCAGGTATGAACTTTGTTAATTACAACTCCATGTGGCTATAGAAATGTACAACGTCGCGGGAAAGATACAGTATCGTATTGACCTGGCCGAGTAACCGTTATTGTTGTTAATATCATATTTCGTTACACAACAATGGTCTATTTCAAACGCGGGCACGCATGTTTGTATATATCATGTTACAAGACACTGAATACAGCGTGGATAGATTTGTTTTACAGTCAGTGGTTATTGTTTTATAAGACAAAGCGATCGATAAACTTTATTGATTTTATATTGATTCACATCCCATGATGTACAGACTTATGTTGGGAATAGGTCAGCACTACCCTGAATAAAGTGACTCGTCTGTCGAGGAATGTCGCCGAGGGTCAGCCATGCGTGAATCGTTCAAATAAGCGTACTCGGAGGTTCACACTGGGCTGCGTTCGCGCGACGCTGTAGAGAAGTTTTGTCGTGTATTTTGTACATCTAAAACACGTTGATTTCACTGTTAAATGTACGAGTTGGAGCATTATCTCGTAATTATGGCGTGACATTTTCAATTATCTATGTCGCGTTTAAACAGCACCAATTGACTAAAATTAAATTATCAATAACAATATTGCGCCGGCTCTGACTATTCTGTAAATTTTAATTCAATAGAAAATATAACCTATAGGTATTTTAATTGAAACGATCCTGCTATAACTAACTCAAAACATAACGACTGATCTAATCGCGTCTGTCGCCTTATATCATTTTATATATGTATTCTGTTGTTTTATTCAGAGAGGAAATTGATACGATATTCTGATTTTTTTTATATTCAGCTCCAGAGCGGAGTTGTGTGTGGCTGCCATTAAAAACATGGCTGCACGAAGCCATATCAATTATTTTAAGACTGGTTATAATTCCTGGCTAGAAACGTTTCGCCCAAACGCAGCAGGCTGCCACAGCCACTGCTCTGAAAGCAGAGAACTCCTTCACAAATCTCACCTGTAAACGAAAGACACATTAATGAGCTGGACACCATTGACCCAGGTCACTGACCACACGGGACCACCGCTATAAATACTAACAGTGACACTTGATCGGACCTGTCACATAACAGATTTAGCCTACCCCTTGGGGCAAGACCTATTCAATTACAGACAACTAAACAAATTATGTCATGATATGTATTTACTTACGAAGACAATGTGTGTCACTATACTTTAACGTATTTAGCAAACCTGACATTATTCGTTGTCCTGGTGTCATCCAGACACGTGACCAAGGACACTGTTGTTTGTGTGTTTGTTTGTTGTTTAACGCCGCACTCAGCAATATTCCAACTGCCCACACTGCAAACAACCAGAAACCCCAGAACACGCACTCATCCACTGCACACACTACCTAACACATCGAACCGCATTACAAACCACCCTCAATCTAAACAAGGCTCTAACTCTAGAAGCAATACTAAACCCACAAAATAAACAAGAAAACTTCAAGGCCTTAGGCGTATTCTTAATAAAAACGGAACTAATAAAACGCATCTAAAAACACAATAACCTACCAAATCAAAATCACATAAACAAACAAACATCCACCATACCCAGCTCCCTTAGTTCTCCTCCCCAATCCCATCGGCATCTATTCCAAATCTCAAAATTCCCAAATTCTATATAAGCAACACCTAAAACCCCCCTCTTGGGTTGCACAGACAACTTTCGCCCCTTTCGGAAACACATTAAATGGCCTGGCCGGGCCCGTGTGCGAAATACGCATCAGTCGGAAAGCGCACGTTAAATCTCCAAAGTAAGTAAGTAAGTAAGTAATATTCCAGCTGTATTACGGCGGTCTGTAAATAATCGAGTCTGGACCAGACAATCCAGTGATTGACATCACGAGCATCGATCTACGCAGTTGGGATATGATGACATGCTTCAACCAAGTCAGCGACCCTGACCACCCGATCCCGTTAGTCGCCTCTTACAACAAGCATAGTCGCCTTTACGGCAAGCATGGGTTGCTGAAGACCCCTATTATGTTCCAAAGTGATAAACTACCATCATCACTTGGGGATTCCTCTAGATGAAGCTGACATACCGTGATGTAACGGAACTATGTCCATGGCGGCGTTAAGCACAACTCACTCACACTGCGAGTGTGCAAGAGAAACGATGCGTCATGCCAGCTCCCCGCCTCCTGCTGACGTCTCCCATCACTCGTCATGTTCCTTGTCACTATACTTCCTGGTTATCTTGCCACGACTCGTGCCACGGTCCGTGACGAACTGTTCTGTCCTGTCTGTATTAGTCAGGTTAAATAATCACGTAAAAACGGTGTAATCATGTAATACATAAGCAAGACACACCTGAAGACTGTGAAGATCCGGGGTTAACTAGGTCTTCAGTAACCCATACTTGCCGTAAGAGGCGACTATTATATGCTTGTCGTAAGAGGCGACTAACGGGATCGGGTGGTCATTCTCGCTGACTTGGTTCATGCATGTCATCGTATCCCAATTGCATGGATCGATGCGCATGATGTCAATCACTAGATTGCCTGGTCCAGACTCGATTATTTACAGACCGAAATATACGCACTGATACGCAAACAGTCTGAATATTCCGACCGTACCAACCATCAGTCTATTGTACAAACAAAATTCGACAAGTGAATTTTTATGTTGAGTATGTTTTGGTTATACGTAAGAAAAGAAATTTAATTTTAGAGTAAATTTTTCGTATCTTAGCCTTAAACATTTTAAAAATGTAACTACAGTTTGTCACATCCCTTTTGTTGTGTCAACAAGTAAAGAATGTTATATTTATTAAGTATCATAATCAATAAAATCAAGGTGAGGTGAGGTGAAATGGGGTTTAACGTCGCGTCCAAGATTATTGCACTTATATAGCGACGTGTGTGTGTGTGTGTGTGTGTGTGTGTGGCTGCTTGTACTAGTCCGGACTGATGCCGATTTATAGTGCTAGCCCACTGAGATACTATGCCGCAGTTTAACATGAATACCCCACTCAGACACAGTATACTGACTCCGAGCCGACCAGTCCTTGTTTAAGCCCCTTAATGCCGAGCGCCAGACAGGGTAACAACAAGTACCATCTTTTAACGTCTTTTGGTATGACGCGGCCCGGGATCGAACCCCGGACCTTCCGCTCTCCGGTCGGATGCTCTACCACTAGACCACGGAGGCGGTCCAATAAAATCAAGCAGTATCAAAGCGGACGGTAGAACTGGCACAGGTGGTAATAAGTTTTGCACATATACAACTTTAAAAATGAATTTGGTTCAGAAGTAAGTAAAATGATGTACGCTCTGTCTCATAAGGGCATTGACACTTTGCGGATGTGGTGATGCTCCCTTAAGGGTTGAAACTGGAAGAAATCACCGTTACCTGAGAGAAAATGTTTTTATTGTAAAGACTTTACCGAGTAAGAATATCACATTTTAATACTCTGTCCTCATACTCTGATGGGGCGGTCGGGTAGCCTAGTGGTTAAAGCGTTCGCTCGTCACGCCGAAGACCCGGGTTCGATTCCCGACATGGGTACAATGTGTGAAGCCCATTTCTGGTGTTCCCCGCCGTGATATTGCTGGAATATTGCTAAAAGCGGCGTAAAACCATACTCACTCACTCACTCATACTCTGATGAAAGAAACTGTCTCTATAACAAAAACATTCAGAATGCTTTCATGTCTTTTAATGATGTCGAGAAAGGTTTTTTATGTTTTGTCACGCCATAAAATAATTCACCTGACTGTAACATAAGGAAGAAAATATATGGATGTCAACTTCTTTATTATGAGGAACACAACGTTTTGGAGTATATGCTTACTCCTTCATAATAAAGAAGTTGACGTCCATATATTCTCTTCCTTATGTGAATCACTTCTAAATACTGTCAGTCTTTCATAAGTAAGATAATTTTACTTTCATTGTATTTTAATTACCGTATTCGACGTAATAAGCGCTCCGTTCAAATCTTCGCCCACGGCGATATTTTCTAATAATTTATTATATTGGCTGGTGAACAATCCCAATTAGCACCCCTTCCGATTGATCAATGTACACATGACTTATTTATTCGTGTATAATACGTATGTTATATGCATTCTTAATTATAAGAAATTAAATTCTGGAAAAAATATATCTGTCGTATAAAAACATTTCAGGCTGTCAGCATAAACCACGAAATTTACGATCTTTCAACTCTGTTGTTTTTCAACAAAATAATATTCTAATAAGAGACCCCTATTTCTAACTTTGAGAGCGCCCTGCGCGCTTATTATGTCGAATACGGTATAATAGTCCCTCGTAGTTCCGTATGGAATCGTTCAGTATAGTTTGTCTGTCTGTCTGTCTGTCTGTTCATGCGGTACGATCACTTTGATGCTTAAAGTTGACTTACTATCAACTTATCTCCGACGTGTTTCGACCCGTGAAGATTCCGGGGTAGAATAGGTCTTAAGCAACCCATGCTTGCCGTAAAGGGCGACTATGCTTGTCGTAAAAGGCGACTAACAGGATCGGGTGGTCAGGCTCGCTGACTTGGTTGATGCATGTCATCGATCCCAATTGCGTGGATCGATGCGCATGATATCAATCACTGGATTGTCTGGTCCAGACTCGATTATTTACAGACCGCCGTCATATAGCTGGAATATTGCTGAGTGCGGCGTTAAACAGCAAACCAACCAACCAACTGACGTGTTTCAAGTGTAATATTTATTTTCAAAGGATACATCTCAAAAGAAGTTTTAAAGAAGTTTCTTTGATATTACTAAACTAGTATATATAAAATAACGGCTTGAACATCGTTTCCGTCTTGTCCGCCGTGGTGGGAGAAATAAATCTTCGTGTGAAATATATGTACTGCCATGTCTCAACACGTA